GCTTGACGTGGTACGCCAGCATACCACTCGTGGTGAATGATCGAGTACGCCCACGTTACAAAGAGGAACGTGACGAGGAGGATCGTCGGGTCTTGCTCCCAGAGCAAAAAGTGGTTCACAATCACGATCGCACCGGGCCCGCCGAGCTCGATCGCCAAGTCGCGCGGGTCAAAAATCAAGTTGGACGACGCGGTCGACTTGACCGTGCAGTGGTGCATCACGTGGATCTCGGGCCACGCCTCGTGGAGAAACATGTGGCCGACGTAGAAGAGCACCTCGACGATCGCAATGTTGGTCGTGATCCCAAAGAGCGTGTAGCGTGTGTACGTTGACGGCGAGAAGAGGGCTTCGAGCGACCCGGCGGGCGCGAGGTTCTGGATCACCACGACGTTCATGACCTCCCCGAGCACGATCGCGAATGCCATCGCACTCAGCACGGTCCAGTCGGAGAAGCCGTTGTGGCGCAGCGTGCGTACGTTCTCCCCAAAGCTGTTGGACGCAAAGCCGTCGACGACGGCGCTCCCGACAGCGAGGATCGAGCCGATGATGGCACCGATGGAGCCGTACCAGTTGATGAGGATGAACGCGTTGAAGGCAAAGAGCATCTGCGCCATGGCAAAGTACGGGAGGCCGTTCAAAAACGCGAGCGGGCCGGGCGTGTCGGGGCTGCGGATGATGCAGTCGAACGGCCCCGACGTGATGATCATCGGCGCTTCGGGCGTCGGCTTCAAGATCGGCGCAGACGCTTCGGGTGTCGCCTGCATTTTGAAAAGTGAGTGGAGCGAGGGCTTCTTGACGGCAACGACGACGACAACCCGTAGGTTGCTAATTTCCTGTCTATCGTGGTCAGGTGGATGCGTCCCACCCTCGCCTGGTTCGCGTGGGACTCGTCTGGTCGCCTGTATGTTTTGGACTGGTCTTGTACGCCATGCATTGCAGCGTGTTAACGTTATCAGAACAAGCAGGACATCACCATCGTCGTCCCGCAGATGCGGTGTCGATGTGGCGAATGTGCTGGTTAAAGGGATACAAGACAATCACCGCAGATGATGACCATGAGGTCGTGACAAGAACGCATACCGCGTACGCGTGGGTGGCCGCGACCAGTCGCCGGCAACGGTTGTTTAAGCATCGTCCACCGAACTCTGGGTACGACGATCGTAATGTGAGGAGTGGGACGCGCCTGTTTTTCGAGCAACGCCAGCGTGGCTTCCTATAAGCGTGTACCACGCTTCGTCGACGTAGTGGGTGCAAGTGGAACGTGCGGCCATGGGACGTCGCGCGACGAAGTCCCCGTACTAGTAGGCTTGAGTGTCTGCTTTTGATGTTGGCGACCACCGGCGATGTCGACACTTTCTGAGTACTTGACGATACAATACGGTGGGAGGACCTCATCGTACCGAGTCGGGACTGCGCCTACAACCTGTGCACAGCTGCGTCTTGAGTAGCCCGCATGTAGAAGCTTGCAGAGGAGGGCTCAAGAGGGCGAACGGTAGGGTGGCCGCGGGTTGAAAGATGCAAGATGCGAGCTGCGAACGAGCCGACATTGAAGTAGCCTGAAAAGCAATACCGGTACACTGCCCGAGACAGGACCCATTGCATACCAGCACAAAGCAACTACCCGTTCGTACTCCGCTTCCCCTTCGCTCCTCGTTTTGCGAGGTCGCCATGTGACGATGCGCTCGAACGGATGGCTGTCGCGTCGTCGTCATCGTCGAGAAACGGCGCGCCGTCATTTTTGGCCGCACCGTGCATACAGTACCTAGATTCGCTTTGATCGTGCAGGAGAAGCAGAGGAGGATCGGCGCGATTGCGAATTCTTAGGGCCACGTCAGCTGTGTGCGTCGATGTATTCACTGCAGGTGCCCCGACGCATTCAAGCATTCCGGTCAGGAATACATGGACGAGAGCCTCCCAAAGGCCAGAAGAGTGCCCGTGTCACTAGCAAGCATAAAGGTCATTGCATAAAACTCTTGACGTCAACCGATGAAAACACTAATAGTACTTCTGTGCAGCCACGCCATCCGCGAACGTCATCTGTCGTGAAAGATCCATCCGGCTGCCAAAACATATGTTTTACAAAACGGCAAAGCAGGCAAGATCGAGTGCTACGTTGTTGTTGAATTGGGTCCTCTATTACAATAGATAAAACTATGCTAAATAAAATTGTCGGACTTTCTTCGTTGTGTGTACTCGGTTGAGGGACTTGATTTAGGCAGGCGGAGGCAGGAGCGCAATCCGCGGGACGAGGTGACG